GAGGAGAGGAAGATGGAAGAGAGAAGGAGAGAAGGAGAGAAGGTAGGAAGGGGAAGAGGAAGAGAGGAGGAGAGGAGAGGGAAGGGAAGAAGGAAGGGAAAGGAGTGAGGAAGTAAGTAGAGAAGGGAGGGAGGAAGGGAGAAAAGAAAGGGAAAAATAAGGTGGTGTCAAAACAGGAGGAAGGGATGGTAAATAAAGCAACCCAAATGGTATGTTATAACCCTGTAAATGGAATGACAAAAGTATAAGAACGACAAATGTAAAAAAGAATAATAACTATGTGAGTGTATACCTATAATTGTACATAGAGAACAAAAAATAAAATAAAAACTTCTGGGGGAAAAAATAATTATCCACCTTGACATCTTGGAGAGAGAAAAACAGAATTAACTTCCAGAGTCACTGGCTTATCACCCGGGACCTCCATTGCTGCTCAAATTTTGGCTGCCTTTTGTTTTTGTGCTTCTGGCTGTTAAATAATTGTGATTCACACAGCCCAAAAGGGATTGTAAATTGTCTAAGTGTTTTAATTATTAGTTAAGGCTTCTAACACTGGAGGGATTTCCCCCTTTTCGGCTGAAACAGGTTGTTTACCCCTTTCAAACCCTGCCCCAAGGGCATGCTTTGTTTCAAACCACAACTTAGGGGAAAAGGCACCCTTCACTGGGTTCACGCCTGTGTGAAGAAGCCAATTATGACACATTATCCCAATGATTCACTTCGCTTGCGGGGCAATGCCAAAAGCCATCAAAGTCACATCATAGATGTTTACCGGTGGCATTTTAAGATGTATGCAAATAAACATTGGAAGGTGTTTTTTTTTTTTTTAATTCCACATTTTCTTTGTCTATGGAGATTCTCTGTCCTCCAGGTCCTTGTTGTCCCAAAGCTGTTTTGTTTTTTTTCAAGAGGAAACTTCCTTGGTTTTTCTTTGAAGAGCTTTCGCTCCTCATCCGAGAAGCTTCTTCAACTCTTGTTGAAGATCTTGCTGAAGAAGCATCCCTGATGAGAGGCGAAATGCCTGCAAAGAAGGGAAACGTCTTCTTTGGCAAGAGTTGAAGAAGCTTCCCAGATGAGAAGTGAAATGTCTTCAAGCAAACACAAAAGTCCAGTTGTCCCAAAGGTGCTTTTTTTTTTCAAGTGGCAACTGGACTTTCTTGGTTTTTATTTGAAGAGGTTTCACTTCCCATCCGAGAAGCTTCTTCAACTCTTGCCTTGATGCTGAGCCTGACTCCCACGCCTGACTCCTCCTTCCTCCTCTGATTCAGCTGCTGGAGGGGCCGGCGGCTGACAAGCCACAACATGATGTTTATAATTTCTCCAGCTATAAGTCTCTGTTTGTGTGGATGAAACACATCGAGTCAACCTATTTATACATCATGTTTACCTTTGCCCAACGGACTGAACATTTCCCTGAAATCTCCCACTGGTCACAGAATGCTCTGAATTGTCCAGAAAGCAGAGTTTGTCCCCAAACATGAGGCTAAAATAAGCCACGCTGGACTTGTGGTTTGTGGTTTCATGAGCGCTACAGACACAGGCCAGGAAAGTTAGCTCAACCATCTCTGATTCAAGCGAAAGAGGAACTGGGATCGGCAAACAAATATGCCGGACTCCCTTATTTATCGATTTGGAGGTCACAGACCGCGTTGCAACAGCCACGGTACAAAGCAAGTATGGGAAGTCCTCAACTTACGTTCATTCATTTAGTGACCATTCCATGTTACAATGGCAGTGAAAAAAAGGGGGTTGGGATCCTTTTTTTAACACACTAAATTGCAGCTTCCCTGTGGTGACGCAATCACATTTTTGGACGCAACAGGTTGCAGGGTCACGGGGTCATGGGATCCCCTCTTACAACCTTGCAACCAACAAGGAAGCCAACCCTGCTATACCATTTTGACAGCCAAGGCGATTCACTTAACAACGGTGGCAAGAAAGATCGTCAAATGGGGCCAAGCTCCCTTAGCAACTGTCTGGCTTAGCCACAAAAAGGTTGGGCTCAATTGTGCTCGTTAAGTTGAGGGTTACCTGTAAGAGAAACCATTGCAAGAGTCCTGGGCTTATGATCATCACTGCAGCCTGAAATGATGGAGAGTAGAGAACTCTCTCTCTCTTTCTCTCTTTCTCTCTCCTTCTCTCTCTCTCCCCTTCCTTCCTTCCTTTCTCCCTCCCTTCTTTCCACCCTTTCTTCCTTGTTTTGTACCTTCCTTCCTTCCTTCCTTCCGCCCTCCCTTCCTTTCTTTTAGATAGTTTACAGATTAACAGAGTTGGAAGGGACCTTGTAGGCAGTAGTGGGATTCAAATAATTTAACAACCGGTTCCCTCCCTCCCTCCCCCCTTCCTTTCTCCCAGTCCTTTCCTCTAGGTTCTCTTCCCACCACTCCTACTAGCTAGGTGAGGAAGAATCCTTTGCCATCTGAGTTTGGTTTATCCTTGGTTAAATGTTTGTTTTTCTGTCTTTGCAAAGATGGGTAAATTTTGCTTTGGCTGCTGGTAAAGCTTTTTTCCGACTCCTCCTCTCTCAGATTCAGGAATTTCTTTTTTAAAAACAGGTCAGGTCAGAGTCTGTAGGCGTCAGACGCTTCCCAAACCTTTTCTTCATTAGAACTTGTGGTTCTAAGGTGGTGAAAATATTACCTTATGCAATATTGCCTTTTTCATCTCCTGTCTGGGCCTTTGTTGGGTATTCTTGTGGTAGTCTAATCTCTTCTTAAAAACCCCCAGTGTTGGAGCACCCACAATTTCTGGTGACAAACTGTTTCACTAATTAATTGTTCTTACTTTTAGGAAGTTTCTCCTTAGTTCTAGATTGCTTCTCTCCTTGATTAGTTTCCACCCATTGTTTCTTGTCCTGCCCTCAAGTGCTTTGGAGAATAATTTGACTCCCTCTTCTTTGTGGCAGCCCCTCAAATATTGTAACACTGCTATCATGTCACCCTTAGTTCTTCTTTTTATTAAACTAGGTAGACCAGAACATTTTCTCAACTTCCTGCTCTACATCCCTCCCCAGAATTTAACAGAATAACAGGGATCTTGGAGGTCTTCTAGTCCAACCCCCATTCCAGGCAAGGAACCCTACAGCACTTCAGAGAAATGGTTGTCTGGTCTCTTCTTAAAACCTCCAGTGTTGGAGCACCTACAACATTCTGAAAGCAATCCTTTCCACTTCTTCTCACTGTCAGGAAATTTCTCCTTATTTCCAGGTT